GGATGACGTATAAATTATTATCGGCATCGGATAAGTCTTTTATGTACATTGATTGAACAGTTGAGATCACAACATGTTGAGTGATTGACATGATATTAGAGTCTTTGAAACACCAAAAATATATGCTATAGTATTTGATTCTCTCCTACATAGTCCAAGTCTGGGGACCCAACTGATAGCTAGGAGACTTCCTTAATTATGCATCATTCATCGTGATAAATATGTGTTTTGCATCCAAAGGAATATAGGGTTGAAGTTGAGTTGTTATCAAATGGTTGAAATTCTCTCATCATAAAATGATTGGTACCCATGATCTGATTTGATACGATCTGTAACTCACTTTTGTGTCTCAAGCTTGTTACACATTTATGGGACCCTTTTATTTTGTACCAAATGAACTGTAAAGCTAGGTTAAAATTAAAAACTAAAAAATGAAAAATAATTCCTCCTTTTGTATGTGCTAAAAAATATGTGTGCTAAATCAGCCCAACATGAAGGCTTTAATTTAAAATTTTATTAGGCAGGTTTGTTGGAATGTTGGCCTTGATATTACATTACCCAACAAATATATATTATAAATATAGGTAAATAAATGAATAAATAAATAAATATATGTGAATGTGAATGAAGAACCTTATAAAAGGCACTCACTCACTACATAAACCTTTGTGATAAACACTACCACTAGCAACTCCACCACCAGCATGCCATTATAAAAAGCCACATAGAAAAAGTTTGGCCTCCAAGAACCCTTTCCTTCACTTCACACCCAAATTCACAACCAAATTCATTCATTCATTAATTCTCAGATTCTAGCAGAGCAAGAACTCCGGTGGTGATTCGAAAGATGTGGCGTGGGCTGGCAACAATGAGGCAAAATCTCCAGAACATAAGGAAGAGCCCCAGAGTAGCAGATGAGAGCATGGTGATTGGAGGTGGGAACCTAGCAGAACTGCCAATTTTTGCAGGACATGGTCATCAACATCAAATGGATAGAAGATCTTCATCGCGGGTACGTTGGATTAAGGGGTTTTCGGTGTTGTACAGTGTTGTGCTTGTGCCATTTTCTGCTCTCTCTTGCTTTTCTCAACCTCATGTTCATGGTGCTGATGGGGTCTGGGCATCTGGTGAATTTGCCCAGATAACAGAGATGAATCACCTCATGGTAAGTGACAGCATGCGCTATGCCATCTTGATGTGAAAAAATAAAAAAGAAGAAGAAGAAAATCAATTTAAGTTAATTATAACAATTGTAGCAGATCTTGTTTTTGCAGCAGTGTACTAATTTGCATGGATGGCAAAAGAGAGCCAACTTTTAGATGGTGATCCGTGTAAAAATGTTTCCCATAATTTTATCAATGATATGTTGGTGAAGTAATACTATATATGTTATATATATCATGTATGAATTCAGATTTAATTTCTTTCCATTATTTTATCTTTTTTTGTTGTCTAGAAATTCTGGAATTGCATTCATAATTCAGCAAAAAAAGTCACTAGCCACAAAGGGC